TCACGTTCAGTCGCAAGCGACACGTCCTTCATACTTCTTGGTTCCATGTGTTTCTATCGCCACTCCCTTCGTCCGTTTACTTCCGTTCCGTCTATTGTTCTGTTCTTTAATATTTGCAATATTAAGACACGACGTGCGGCGGAATTTGTAATTTACGAGCTTAAAAAAGAAAAATCTTGCGTGTCGACGTAACATGTGCACTGGATATCCTGAAACAAAACGCCACAGAAATTACTTTCTCGTAACGTATTTGAAATAAATTATTTTTAAATGATTAAAAGCCAAACAAAATCAATGTTTATGATGTCAGTAATTAAATAATAATTTTAATAAGTCACAAATTTTTGCAAAGAAGGGCGAGATCGAAGATTATAATATTATATTAGATCTGTTTTCTGTGGCTACTAATGTACATTTTTGGAACTTAAAGTGAGACAGATATATGTTCGATATTTGTTGAAAGCGAAAAAGAGAGTTCTAACGCAGTCTAATGCAGGAACAAAAAACAGACCAATTATCTCAGATAAATAAATCCGACTAATAGAATCACGCGATTCAAGGTTTCGCATGCGATCGTGCAGCGAAAAAAGATAATGAGTCGGCCTTCACGAAACCTTTAATAAAAGTTCAAGGTTGCGGGTATCCTGGAAGTGATAATATAGAAAACATGGAAAAACGCTATAGAATCAATGATGAGAGCTGCCACAGCAAATCAGTTCGCTATCATTTCCGTTACGCGTATATATTTTTTATCAAGTGATCTTCAACAACTTCAACCTATCGTCCAATACCCGTATTTATATTGTAGAATATAATACCCTTTATATAAATGTGAAATTTTTTACATCAATTGTTTTAGTTTACAAAGAGCTCTCTATTTTTTATTTTAATTAAATCGAAAACTCTTGCTGACGATTTGGAAATTTGTTTTGTAGAGGAGGTCTTGAGATTAGGCTTGACTGGCACTTGACAGGAATTTGATTGATTGGTTGTTTTCGAATTCTCTTGTTATTATTAGAATTATGAATTATTAACGTACCAGTTTAGAACTAATTATAACCGCTCGATTCTGTTGAATAGATGAGACTTTTGACTTTAGTTCGCGTGTCCACTGCTGTGGATTCCGTAGAATTGAATTACAACTCCAAGACGTAATAAAGCTCACCCTTCTCGCGTATAAATCCTTGTTCGCCGTCGTCGAGGCAAAAGGAAACGAATCAACTTTCCACCGACTGTCTTCTCTAAGGATTATCCAAAAAGATACCGATTAGCGACAAGCAAGTTTCCGATTCGCAAGACGGGTCTAACACGTTGCAACTGTCATTTCGCAAGGCGGATTTAATGCATTACAGCTGTTTGAACATCAATTACAGTCGACGATGAAAGTGATTATTATCAATCTGCATCAAGTCTGAAAAGTCTGTCTATTATGTTTTGACAGTTGTTAATATATAATTGTATAAAAAGCAACCCCCCCCAGTAAAAAAGCTGATGTTATTATCGTCATTTTGACATTATAGATGTCACTTTGACGTCACTTCGACGATAAATAACTTTGATGTCACTTTGACGATAAATAACGTTAGCTTGTTTGCTGGGGAGGTTTTACAACAAAACGTTAAAGAAATTAAAGCAGACGTTTTCGTTCCACTTTCGGCTTTCGAGCACTTTATCATTCATTTCAAGCCACTTCTAAGGTGCTGACGAACGGCGGGTATTTTTTTCAATTTTCGCTTTAAGCGGCACAACTGCCGTGGAAAATGGATCCTCCGATACCGCTATTGTTGACCAGCGTGATAAACTGACCTCGCATATGTCTTCTTTTGTTTCAGAAATACCCCGCGCGCTGTTACGTAACCATTTATTTTTAGTTGGCCACCGATTTTCTGCATTGTATCCCGCAATCCGACCTCTTCCGAATAAAGAGAAATGATCGAAGCCGCGGAAATGTTTTCTACTACGCTATCAAAGATACACTTTGCACAACTGCGGTTCTATAATCGGAGTCTTCGCGATACTATTTAATTCTGCAATACGTTATTCTTGTCGTTATTTGTGTAACATGTCAACATAACATTCGCAGTGATATGCAGACATAAGATAAAAAAGCTAAACGTTATATAAAAAAATATATATGGAAAGAACGACTTTGCTCGAAGTATTTAAAAATTTAACTGGACAGATAAGAAATAATTTTGTTATATCATTAAAATAATTATGTAGATAATTTAAGCATGATGGACAGTGCTATAAAAAGCTCTGACAAATTCAAAAATTATAAAATTTAGAAGGCTATTCGTGCCATGTTGGATGTTATGTGCGAATTACGAATATTATACATAAATATCATAAATAATAATAAGCCATAACTATATTATGGCTTGAATATTCCTCCAATTTTTATAATTTTTGAACTCATATTCTTGAGAGCCTTATTTATTCGTTGAATTTTAGTCTTGCAAATTATTTTGATGATCCAGAAAAATTATTTTTAGATCTGCATAGCTAAATTTTTAGATACTTCAATAAAACCGTCTTTTCCGTTTATATAAAATTTGATTCTAGTTGAGCAGTATAAAAGTCAAGAAAGTTTTTCACTAAAAAAAATAACTGTTTACTTGCTTTTAGCCGAGCTACGCATCTTGGTTTTTTCTTTGTGATAAAGATTCGTGGACGAATGGACGTTGCTTAGCCGACCATGAGCAAACACGCTTTGCATTCAGTCGTAGAGCTGACGGTCTGATTCCGTGTAGATAGATAACGAAGGTGAGTTTTACGAGATCGTGATTCAATTTAGCGACAGTATCATGAACTCATGTCGACTTGGAAAGATATTCCATGATGTTACGAGATCACGAGAATACGAGCGAACTCGATATCCTTTCGTGGCAAAACGAAACTTCGCCTTTCTTGTTACCCGCTGGCCATTTTTCTTTACGAATAGACCGACCAACCATCCCGCCCTCGCACAAATTTTTCGCTAAGATTTTATTACGTTACTGGATCATCCATTTAAAGGCCTGTAAGATATCCGCCTCCGGCCACCGTCGATCATACGATGTCCAAAAGTTAGAAACGCGAACGATTCTTTGTGACTTATATGGCTGCGAGAAAAAAGAAAAGTATATTTGCACCTGCGAGAAATAAAAGTATTTAAATTCAAAATTATTAATTCTGACGTATAATTTGTAATTGTTATCAGAGAAACATTTACTGTTATTTTACTGTAATTCTACCTCCTCAAAGTTGATTAATATGAAGTACCTATATAAAGTACGATCGACAAGAGAGTTTACCTTCGACCCTTTATTCCATTGTAACCAATCCTCGGAAATCTGAAAGAGAAACCAAAGTTGTTACTATTTCGCAGAATATACAGTCCCCGCTCATACTTACGATTGAAAACACCATATGGAAAACTAAAGTCGGACTTAAAGAGAAAGATATTGAGTTTATTGTCCGTTTTATTTGACTTTTCCATTTCTCTCTCTTTTTTTCATGATGCGACTTCGATTTGGGCTCAGGCCGGAGGCTACAGTTTTGCCACTTTTATCGAGGGAAACTTTCTTCCATAATACTATCAGCAAAGTGCCGATCTGTTCATTCTTAATGCGACGTTAAGGTGATATTATAACGAAAATGGCGCGCGAACGCAATTCTCCTTTCGCGATTCTCTAGCGTGATATAAATTTTTTTTGCTGATGTACGTAAAGTCGTCGAACCCATTTTGGCACTCGGCCATTTGCGAAAGAATTTGCAGAAGCAGTGCGGATTTTAGAAGGAATTTTCGAGCGTTGTAAAAAATGTATGGTTAAATGTATGGTAGAATGTGACATTTAGATTTTAAAGCAAATGTTCTCAAATTTTTTAAATAATGTATTTAGAGGGAGATATACATAAGAGTTATAATCGATATTAAACAAAGAATTTTTTAAGTCAGTAAATACATAACTAATAAGGAATAAGGGCTTTTAAATATCAAATTGGAACTTAAGTGCTTAAGTATTGTAATATTTTTAAGGATATATAGATTTGAGCAAGATTTTTTAAAATTTAATGAAAAAGTAGCAATGATAGATCAAAGCAAGGAAATTGCCAAAGCAATTTAATTCTACAATGCAAGATTCTGTAATACATAAAAAAAATTTAAAGTTGCAATAATCTTTAACTTAAAAAAAATAACATACTTTGTTTTTTTCAGTAATTAATAATTAATTTTTTTCAGTAAATTTTAATAACAGCAAATATCGAATCGTCTTGTAATTTACATAAAATTAAAACTAATTTTGACTCTGCGTTAATTTCTTCTTTAGCATAAATTATTATGCTTTTCAAATGTAAATCAAGAAAGAAATTAACTGAATTAAAACACGCTCGTTTCGTAGCGTTAATAACTGTTAACAACGACACAAATAATTAAAGCGACTCCACCGAGATACGTGGCAGGCACGCATTCGCTCTTTCACGTATTACAGCGTTTCTCGTCGCGACGTAGGTACATTTAATTCGCACGACACGAAGTACACAGGTGCGAAGAGGTCCCATCGTGATGTAACTTTTAGCAGCCTTGTATCAACACGACGCAGTTTGCAAACTTAACTTATTAACGGGGGCGCGTTATACGCAATTTCGTCCGGCGTTGTATAATCATGCCGTGGCGGTGATTTCAAATATTTGATCGAGTCACGTCCGGATGCGATACGCGATGCGCGATGCGTTACGAGGCTGATCGTTAAGCACGCGTTGTCGGTGAGAATTGCTTCTCGCCGGATCGAGTAAACGACATTATGTACGAATAGCTCGAACCACGAAACCTCATCGCTGGCAATTCGCCGGCAACTCCCGGAGAACCGGCGCAAACATTTGCGCTGGGGGTTGTTTAACAGTCCTCGCAACACATGAAAACGATGCCTCCAAACCAATCCAGTCTTTGCTGCCTTCGAAGCTCGACGACACTTAATCGGACGTCGGGAAATCCCACGTGTCGCAAACTCTAGAAAATGATCAGGTCGATTGTTACTCTTCTCTTGTTCTGTCAATTGCTCAACATCGGGAAAGGCCTGTGGGCGAATGGCACTCGCGACGAAAATTCAGAGACAGCGCAGCGATTCAGGCTGCGAAGGAGCCTCACGTTTCCCAGTCCGGAGTCTATGCTTTTGGTATGTAATTAGTCAGTAGATTACATCACCCATTGAATATAATGCTTATTGTTGATTGCTCAGTAAAAGAAAATGTATATAATTTCATAAGTTACTTTCTATTATAGAAATTTAGTTTGAGTATTTCATTTTCTGTATAACATTTTATCATTTGTATTACTTCAATTTTGTATTACTTTTTGTACTCAATTTCTATAACAAACATATAAGGCATTTAAAAAAGTAACTTTCCCAACCCTGTTTTATAATTAAGCATAGGGCTTTATAATTTATAAGGAAAATGGAAATGATCAAATAGTATTACATAATGTTAACATTAATTTATATTCCAAAGTGGTTCAGAGAGAGAGAGAGAGAGAGAGCGACAGGTCGGCGCAGTTTCCGCTATTCTGATAATTAAAACTACCGTCGGGATCGTGCGTGTCAGAAAATGAATGTATACGGCCGTTTTCATGCGCGTCATCCTTCCTCGTGTATTCGTCCAATTTTCCGGACAGAGTGTTTCCCACAAATACTACCACGACGACGGTTCCTACAGTCCTGACCTTCGAAGAGACGGGATAACGAACGTGAATGGCACGAGGAAAATCGTAACGGGTTCGTTTTCGGCGTTTTTCGGCTACACGGATAATTATCCGCCTTACACGCATCGACGGAGAATTATTTGATCATCGTATATACCGATACTCTGACGCATACATAAAATACAACACGTCAATCTTTCGTGGTCTATTCAATTTATGACAGCTGACGACCGGGTAGAGACGAAAGGGTTTAGGACATGGGAGATCGCACATATGTACAGAATGTTGCTGATACATCGGGTTAGCGGACGTAACGCATGTCGACCGCGTATGAATTTCGATAAAATCGTGAGAATTTCCACGGAAGACCGTATCTCGGCGCGACAGCGCGTCTGGAGAGGACAGTTTAACGAGATTCAGTCTGGGCTTCGTACGCTCTACGTGGGAAGCGGTTTTTTTTTTTTTATATTCATGTCGCCGAAGCCGTCGGTGAACGAAATCGATACATTCCACGAGCCAATGATAGACCACTGGTTAGTCTGGCGATGTAGAAGCAGGGAGACACATTCGTTACTCGCACTAATTGAAGATACGATCGGACCGACGCGACGACTTAAGTTGGAAAATTTATATAGAATTCGGAGAATATTGCAGTCCAAGTTTCAGTACAGCGAATATTTTCTTGCGCATTATTATTGAAGGCATGTGCGAAGAGTGCCAGGATTTTTATCCAGCATCAACACCATTTTACCGAAGCGTGGAGCACATTTATTTAATAAATGTACGAGGTGAAAGCATCTTGTTAAAATTATGAACAAACTTTTTATTTTCATTTCTGCAAGCAGTAATGAAGTTTTATAAAAAAATTTTGAATTAAATTCACAATAATTCTGTAACAATCAAATAAGTATAAGCTTATAATTATAAAAATTAATAAGAAGGCTCTATATGTATAAAACAATATAAAAATGCAAATAGATTATCTTCTTTAACATTGATACGTGTGCTTGATAGTTGCAAGGTATCTTATCCGTTTTAAACCTTACATGTTTTACATTAAATTGACGCAGAATGACTTTTACATATGGATTTATTTTGATTTTTATTTTTGACAAGGATCAAAGATGGAATAACAGATATGAAGTCTAAGTTTATATACAGATTCTCGAATTTTAGTATTATGAATTTATGTAATGACAGTTTAACTTTTATGTAGATATATTGCTGTATCATTGAAAATGACACGATCGATGTCGAAACTTGTTTGATTTTGTTTTATTGTATTATCATATGAATTAAATTAATGTGTTAGATAAAATTGGCTCTACGCCCTATTTGCATTTTTATATTATAAGCTTATAAATCAAGCTAAAAATCTTATATGGTATATTTTTTAAATCTCGGTATTTGAGAAAATGTTTTACAGATTTCATATTTCATAAAACTTGGTATTTGAAAAAATACAAATAATTTTTATATTTTAGTCATACACGAAAAGAATTTTTTGAAGTGAATCTACAAATTTAACTACCTAAAAATCTGAAAATAATTTTGTTAGATTATCAAAATAATTATATTGTATAAGCCGCTCAAACTAATTGTTAGAATATCCAAACTTTTTGTGGGATTACTCATCATATGCTTGAGCGGCCTCAATAATAATTTTGGTAATCCAATAAAATTGTTTTCTGTATCTAGCTAAATTTTTATATTTCAGTAAAATTTTTCCGTTTATAATACTGTAAATCTGTTATTGTATTTAGCCACAAGTTTGTATCTATTATTAGCGGAAAATAGAGAAAGAGTAAACGCGATAATTCTCAGAGCTTGAAATATTTCGAACGCGAAAGGAAGAATAGCCTTCGTCGGCAAGAGACATCCACGCCGGAATTACGCTTGTACGATACGCTCGCAATCAATTATTCGCGCATAATGTCGGGTCCGGGCGCGTATTGTTTGTTCCGTGAGAAAGAGAGAGGCAAAAGAATTATTGCGTGTCGGCTCCTTTTTTCTTTGTTTCCCGCCTCCTTCTACCTACCATCTTCTGGGCGAGGCTGTAGTATCCAGATACTCGGTGGCGGAACGATTCTACGCGGAAATTTGCGGTTTTATCGGAAATTCATACGAGGGATGGTCCGTGCAAACCCCGGCGCGGAAATTGGACGAACTTCGTACGACCCACGGAATTCGGAATCCACGACGTGTGTGCGGCCGCGGTCATCGCGATTCATCCTCGTTGTGTATACAACACTGGACATCACCGTACATGGCACTGCCGGCGAGAATAATTAAATGCGCGTGATGGCGGTATCATTTTCTCCACGCGACGAAGCTGGCAATAATCAGCGTGTTGATGACATCGATAATCGTCCATTACTGAATAGAATTAGTAATTTGAGATGAAACTTGTTGCAAAATAAAGAAAAATTGAAAAAAATTATTTATTGGATATACAATACTTTAAAAGAGAAAAAATTTACGCCAAGTGCATAAAAAAAGTATTTAATTCTTCTTAATTAAAAACGGACGTGAAATCAATGTAATTATCCAAGTATTTCATTACGTAAGACACATAAGATTGAGCGAGAGTTACTAAAATTGTCAAGATTGAAATCACCTTTTTTCAAGAAAATGGCTCAATTTTTACTCTTTAGAGTGAAATTCCACTTTAAAGAATATAGGGAGTAACTGCATTATTCAACGAAAAGAATAAAATTACTAAATAGGTCTGTTTAAGGAAATTTTTAGATAGATAACGAGGTAGCGACGTGGAATATCGCAATGCGAGGATAAGCGTCGTGAAAATGATTGCTCGTTCTAGTGAGAGTATCGTTATGTTTTTCCGCATGAATACCGTTTTCTGCTTTCACAGCTGATCTTCGGTCTAGGCACTCCGTTGCAGCTGGATCGCGAGAACGTAATCGTGGGTGTATTTACGAAAATGATATATGCCATGCCGACCAACGCCACGGATTTCACCGAACCAGGAGTGTATTATGGGAAGACCAGTAGGAGCAGGTGGAGCTTTTACAAGTTGTTCGAAAAAATAACAGCCATGTACGGCTTGGGCGGCAAAGAGTGTTTACTCAAGGCCATTTGCGAAGTCGCTTCCGCCCCATTTGACGTCCATCACGGTTTACTGGGACAATTGGTACAGACTTTCCTTAGGTAAATGAACCATGTGCTATTTGAAAAAATTTACGTACTTGAGTCTCGCGTCGCGACGCGAAACGCAAATCTTTTTTCAGATAGCGATACACTGAGAAAATTTTCTGGTTGAAAATGGACGAAGATAATTCTAATCGTATAATCAGTTAGAATTCTAATGATCTCAACTGCGCTTGTAATAGATTCGATTAAAAATATTCTGATTTGTTCATTTCTTCAATCAAATACTTTTTTTAGTGTATAAAGATGAAAATAAGTCCAAATACTGTTATTAAATAGATATCTCTTTATTTGAACTTTACATGGATAGAATGATTTTGCTAAAATATTAAAAAATTTAGCTAAATACAGATCAGAAGACAATTTTATTGGACTATTAAAATAATTCTAAAAGACGCTCAAGCTACTTGCTAGAATATTAAAATCTTTCGCAGCATTAATTGCTGACATTCCTACAGCATGTTTGAAATTCCAATAATTATTTTGATCCAAGGCAAAATCACTTTCAGATCTGTATCTAAGTTAATTTTTCAAATATTCCAGTAAAATCGTTTTTATCGAGTACGTGATTTTAAATTGTATCGATATTAATTCCGTTTTTAATCGACAAATGGTTTTATCGGACTCAATAATACGATACTAACTAATCGTTTCGATCTCAATTTTCACTGAGATTACGTCGACTACGATACTCGTTGAAAGATACACTACCAAAGTGTCCGATGTATGTTAATATTACGATGTATCCTACATATATTTCCCCGGCGATCCCGTCTGTATGGAAGAATGTCTTCATTATCGATAATCATTCGAAGCAGGCGTTTTCGTCACCGGTGAGAAAAATCGATTAGCAGTGCCGCAATAAAACTTCGGCACCGTCAGTCGCCCACGCATAACGTCAATTACACGCGAACATAATGTCACGACGCAGACGGCGACGGTATTTAATAAACACCGTATATCGAGCGCACGCCGGGATTTTCCGATAAACCGGTATCCGCGGCTCGCCGATATTTTCGTTTTGTTCCGCCGGCGCCGTTTCCGAAGCGACGAACACGGTCGTTGTAATTTCTCACGGCGCGGCGTGGCGCGGGCGGCGCGACAGCCACACGTATACGTATGCACGTGTATGCGGAAATACCATGGAATTCCAGGCCCTCCAGCACCCGGGAAGAGTACGACGAGTACGGGGATCGGGAATATCGGGCGGCTGAACGGCTGGGCGAGCTGGCGGAGGGCGCAGCCTGCCACGCCCTTTATCCGGAATGCCGCAGAAGTGTGCTCGACGTATTTTCCACGTTGACCACGTGAGACGATCGGATGGAAATCTCGGCGGGAAGAGCGGCGGAATTGCGTCGGAGGTACCCAGACAAGCCCGGGAGATCGCTGAAATATCGGATCGCCGAACGATTTCATCAACACGCCGGGATTGGAAATTGGAGAAGTTTGATATGTTGGGAGAGCACGCTTTCCAAAGCATACACCGTTAAATTCATAGCGTCAAATTATACCCACGCAGCTTGATTTATTTTTAATTGTTTCGCCAATTTTTAATCAGGTTGCCTTTATTTATTACTCCTGTTTAATGTGCCATTAATTTGACTGAGGCTTTGGGTTGTTCCATCTTTCGGTAAACTTCAGCTCTTACTTTCTTATGTTCTCTTACTCTTTTACTCTTTTATCCAATTAATAAGCAAATTATCACACAGTTTATCTGAAAATGTAACAACCGGCCCTAAAACAATGGAGTTAAACAATTTAACTCAAGAAAATGTATTAAATCTAACTCAATTTGGGCTGGGTTGTTCCACCTCTCGGTAAACTTCAGCCATTGTCTTACTTTCTTACTCTTTTATACTCTGACTCTTTTATTCTTTGATTTATCCAGTAGATAAATTACCACATAGTTTATCCGAAGATGGAAGTGATGGAACAACTGGTCTTTAGTTTATTGTTAAATACAAATATTATGGAACTAATCACAAAAATGGATTAATTTTCATTTTAAGCCATATGGAAGTTAAAAATAATATGTTATTCAACTTAAGGGATTACCATTGCTTTTTTCATATCTCATAGATTTCCAAGGGATGTTTTGAAGAACATATTAAGATCGTCCCAACGTTCTAAGAATATTGCTAGAAAGATTTCTGCAATGAAGTGCTGGATGTGTGGGATCTAACAATGTACATTAGGCGATCGAGATCATTCAGAATGTCCTTCTTGTAAAAGCGACACAGGCAGCTGCAAAATATTCCGTTTAACACGGAAGTAGTTATCCGATTTTTTTACGTAAACAATCACTTGAAATGTCTTTACATTTCAATTAAAATCATTGTTATTAATAATATATTGTATGTTATTAATTCTTGTCCAATTTATTGTACTGAGAGAAAAATGTACTCAATTTGAATAAATTGTTTGAATAATACTAATATAACATTTATTTACGCAAAAAGTAAATATTTGCTCTAAATAAGAAAATATAAACTTATAAATCAAATTATTGATTCTTGTACTCTTCACAATATTTGAGAACATTGGATATGAATTTAGTCACAATTCTCAAAAAAAAAAAAAAAAATAGGTAGAAATTAAATATTGAATGATAAAAAATATAAGCACGTTAGTAACTCTTATCACATGTTGGTATTTTTAAAAAATAAAAATTAATTAAACGCTTTTTTATTGCGCTGTTTTATCGAAGAAATTGCGTACTTAAAAGTTCATAAAGAACAGTTATTAAAGAAAAAAAACAACATTCACAACTTTTATTTCACATAAAATGTTAGGATGTGAAAGTAATAAACGTCAGGTGATCATTCTCGAATTAAATATGTAGCTCTCGCCATTCGATTCGCGTACACGCTAAAAGGGCATGCACCATACATTTGTCAATTAGAAAATTGAATTCCGACACTACCGCTTCTCGCGCACGAAAGCGAGATTCCTTACGAATAATCCATCTCCGCTCTCGATGTTTCGTCGTTCCAGTAATGTGAGGAGGTCGTGAAAGCGCTTTCCTACGCTTCTCCGTACACCCCCATTGGCATTCCTCTCTCTCCTTCCTGATTCGGAGTTTCATCTTCCTAAAAGTGCGCGTAAGAAACATGGAGTTTCGGCGGGTGGAATGCCGGCATTCGATATTAAAGAATCCTCGGCATTCACGGAGGATCCGGCCTCCCGCGAAGTTTATCGCGGTTTTTCCGTTACTTCGGCGCATTCCCGTATAATCAGCCGAAAGAAAAGCTCGTCAAAAGTTTTCACGAGGCGGCTATCGCGGATTTCTTTATGTTCCCTCGGAGCTGCGTAGTAAGATTATTTACTTTGCCTGGCGTTTTTCTTTCCTTAATTGTGCGGGGATGGAATCCTTGAGTGGAAGAACGGTGGAAGAAAGACTAGATTATCGGAAGCTTTCCAAGTATATTTTAGGAGAAAACATTGAAGCTTGTATGCGGAAGCGCGCATCTGTCTCTTTATATCACATAAGCTAATTTGCACGATCGGCTGTTTGATTATGTATACTATTATATATTATATATTTGCGCGTATACACATGCAATTCCCATAATAATGCATATTGCGACCGCATTCGCATATATATATGCGGTGTATGCGGTTGCCGGTTAATTATTAGATAATAGACGTACTGTAGTTAATTATGAATAGATATTAGTTTGGCCAGGGCAAGCAAATTAGCTCTTTCTGAATAACGAAGGTATTCAAAACATTCTTACGGATTCCAGAATAAATTGAAGGAGTCTCTAGTCTGTCGGTATTCTCAGATTAATCTAAGGAAAAAAAAGCGCAAGTCTAAAAACTTAATTACACATTAGAAACTCGCGAAGTTTCTAAATCTTAAATGTGCAATTTAATATATGTTACAATAATATGATGTTTTATTTGTATAATTATTTTTAAATATATCGTCAAAATTTATAATTTAAGAATCTCAACTCTGATATTTTTTAAATACGAAAAATATTTCTTGGGTTATTATCTATGCATTTCGTGTTCAGAAAAAAAAACTGAACACAATTTCTTTACTTGCGATTTATACAGTGAGTGCAATATGTATTCGTTCAGGAGAAAATTTTATTTAAAAAAATCTTATTTACAATTTTATTTATAAAATAAACATTAATTAACAATTTTATACAATAAGTTTTATCTTAATACGAACAAAAGAATTTGCGTGTTTCTGATCTTCTGATCTTCTTTTCTGTACGAATACTTTTTGTACGACCAAAAAATTGTAATTTTTCATTTTCTTGCTTATTTTTAAGATAATATATTTTAATTATTACACATCTTTTTAAATCAAATAATTATGAAAAATATGCAGTTTATTTTATCCCTTGTTAATAAATTGTTAATTAATGTATACTTTTAAAATAAGGTACCTTCAGAAGATATCTATGTACAAATACTTTTTACACTCACTATTATAAGTTTCTAGAAATTAATCGAAAATAACTTCATGATGGATTTGAAGCGCGAACTTCCGTTTACATTTCAGGTGACATCGTCGCAATAAACCTCGAAACTTTCTTTACGTTAATTCCTCCCGGTTGGTCCGGGATATTGCAATCAAGGAAGCGGATCCCGGGTTTACGCAGCGCACTGGAAAAGCGTTTTAGCATTTTACCGCGCGAAACGATTTCTTCCCCATAACGTTTTATTATGTCGCACCGTACCTTGCTCGCCACAATGTGGAAAGCTCATTTCCTTGGAGCTTCGTAAACACACGTTTTTACGCGCCGTTTTGCACAGAAATGCTAAACAAGTGCGTTCTTCTTGTGTACAAGCCGCGAATTCGTTTCACAGCTTGCATAATAGTCGCTCACTTTTACATCCACGTTGTTTCGAACTATTCTCGAGTTTGCGCGATGTCCACAGCCGGAAAAGCTAAATTTGATGAGAAAAGTTTGTTTTCTTAGGAGATAGAGGATGCGCGGAATTTTCGTCTATGCATTTCTGTTTGCTCGCTTGACAATATATCATTTATTTTTGTTGCAACGACATAACTCAAAAATTACTTTTTTATTTCTTACAGAACACACAAAAAAGAAAAATATATGCTGTGAAAAAAATATATTTTTATTGCTTTGCAATCAACATTAAAATTACATTAAAAATTAATATTAAAAAATTTTAATAATTCAAAATATTGAAATTTCTTTTGTGGAGAGCTTTGTTTTGTTGTAGCAAATGAGCGATATGTGTGTATACATATTTTAATATATTAAATAAAACTTATACTTTTTATAAAAATTATAAAAGCTAAATAAGCAGTTGCAACATTAATTATAAATTGTAAAAGAAATTTTAATGTTTAAATTATTGTAAATTATGAACACTCTATAGAGATCCATATAATCATTATTATTGAATAATTTATTGTTTTAAGTAATCTATGCAGATGCACAGTATTTAATAATCATCGATTAATTACAAATTATAAATAACAAGTACATGTTATTATAATATTATAATATTGTAAGCGATGAACTGATTACACAATTAGTTTAAAAAGAATCTCGTGAAAGATGAAGAAAGACCAAAAGAGATATATTTTTACTTTCTTTATTGACAAGATAATGATGCTACGTATTTATGGCTGCCTTTCGTATTGTCAATACATTTAGCTTCCCCTCATCGAATTTTTGGCGACTTTACGAGATCCCGCGACTTTTCATGTATCTCATTCGATAGGATATGCTTGTGTCTGGAACGGTTGTAGTGAATAGAAACGATTTACTACCGCGATATCCGCTGTCTGACGCCAATATTCCCCTGCCTCTCTCATCCCAGGAGGAAGTATTACCTGACATTGGGTGGAGATTGCAAGTTGGCTTGTCGGCAAAAGTATTTGCATGGATATGATGGTATCATTCGATTCGCCTGACTGACAACCGGAGATACTAGTTGGTATACAGTGTAGACAGGCGAATTGCCATCATCACTCGTAACATATATATCGACGCTTGTTGAATGAGAGCCAAGGGTTTTATGGCCATTAAGAAATTAAAGCAATCAGTTTTGTTTAAATTAAATTTATATCGTACATGTCTATTTAAATATTTTACTTTAAATAAAATTTATTTCTGCGAAAAACGATTTTACCTACGTATTAAAAAATTTAGATAAATATAGATTCAAAAATAATTTTGTTGAATAATCAAAATATTTACGTAGGAATTTCAAGCGTAATGCAAAAGGCTTTGATATTTTAGCTTCTAGTTTGAGTGTCTTGTAAAGTAAACCACTCGTTTTAAACTCTTTTGCTTTTAGGTTTAGCCATCAAATCT